GTCAAACCACCATATTTTGGTATTTATATTATTTCATTTAGTCCTAGCCGATCTTTACGTGCAGCAGCAGCGCCACCTTTTCCAAGCAAGCTCGTTCGTATTCCACCACGTCGATTCCAGCTTCTGCTGCTGCATGCCTAGGAAGACAAGTTCGAAGGGAGCGGAAGACAGTGTGTACTCTCCACCCATTGTCTGCAGCTGACATTGCAGCCCTTCATGCTGTACATGAGAGAGCAAACATCACCCAAAGTACAGCTGCTGATTTAGATCGCCATGATGACCAAGATGGTGATGCTGAAAACACTGAAGACGAATCACGTGACGAAGAGCCAAGTAAGCCTTTACCACCTTTACCCTGTATTCGCCGAGTGAATATAACATCCGATTACGAAAGTAGTAACGATTCTCCTAGTGGTAGTGATAACAATGATGCTGGAAGTGTTCCAGAAGATTCCACTGGTAGCGTTGGATCAACACATGTTCGGAATCGCATGCCTAGGTCCTTGGGTGTCCAAATATCCACACCCAACGACAGCTACCGGTGCAGCTTGTGTGGCGCACGAACGCGAGTCGTTGATACAAAAGAAACAAGTCGATCCCCTGGATTAGTGGTTGTGCATGATGATGTGCCTCCAGTCGTTGCAGCTAAAGGAAGAGAGGTAAGAATGGAGTTTAACCATTCATTCAACTATTGTCATTGGCCAAGCCTTTAAAAAAAATGTTGAAATAATTTCAAAATTTCCATTCATTGCAATTTAGGCTTACAAACGTTTGCTATCTAGAACTAATTATTGAAAATTTTGACCTGTTGCTTTCTTACTAATAGTGCTTTATCATCATATCTTTAACAGTCTATTAATGTATATTTCCTGAACAATGTAGACACTTTGTCAACTACAAAAACATGTAATAAGTGTTTAGAAAAGTAATCATCGTTATGAAAAAGAAAATCACATATATAGATCTCTTTAAAATGTTTAGCCTATTTCTTGATTTTCTCACTATTTATTTTAAGAATCTATTATCATCAAGTGATAGCGTGTTGGAAATTATGAAATGTGTACAAAACTTTACAAAACAAATGTGTTCACAGGTGATACAATTGTGTATCTACTGTAAATTTGTGTCTTTACCCTGTGTGTGGCGTGGGAAGTGGTGATTGATCTATGGCTGCCTTTAAGCTAATTTACCCCTCAGTTTCTAATTATTCAATAGTAATTTGACATTCATAATGTGTTATTTAACCTGTTGTAATTTAAACATTCATGATGTGTTATTTAACCATTTACAATGGGAAAGTTTTTTTCAGTTTCGTCACTGAACTCCTCCTATTAGTTTCTTATTTTTGTTGGGACAATATTTTGTATAAATCATTAACTCTAGCCACTACAACTAAATCACGGTCGTTTTGAACTTTGAAAGGTTGTTAGACTTAACTTGTTCTGAATTGTTTTGAATTATGAACATTGCGCATTTCAAAAGATTTTTATATATTCCGGCACAAAATGTATTTTAAAAGATATTGTAAACTGGACATTTTCAACGATATCGTAAAATATCCTTGAAAGTCATTGTAGACCATTCGTAGACCATTAAGGTTGTTTTAAAGGATGTGACATTAATTAAACTCCTTCTTCATTTGTTTTCGTAAATGTCTAAACAAACGTATAATCCTTTATGAAGACATGCTGCCTACCCAAAAGCAAAAACACAAAAATGCTATTTACCCTAGTCTATTAAAGTGTTTGTTTTGGTTTGATTTGATTTGAATTTCGCGACAAAGCTACACGAGAGCTATCTGCGCTAGTCGTCCCTAATTTAGCAGTTAAAGGCTTGACTGAAGGCAACTAGTCATCACCACTCACCGCCAACTCTTTTACCAACGAATAGTGGGATTGATCGCCACATTATAACGCCTGCACGGCTGAAAGGGCGAGCCTGTTTGGTGGGACGGGGATTCGAACCCGCGACCCTCATATTGTGAGTCGAGCATCCTAACCAACTGGCCATTAAATTGTTTCACAAGAGTTCTCGTGTTATACAATGAGCAGCACCTCCGTTTATGCATAAATTGGTATTCTTTTAAGAGTTGAAGGTGCGAATAATTGGAAACACATTCCCTTCTTCTATCCAAAAAGTGATTAAGGTCGTTTAGAATTCCGTAGATGTTATTTAAAAATTCAATGATATTTCATATTTTTCAGGTTGGTGTTTTTATCTTGTGCTTTTATTTCCCATACCACAGTTGCACAGCTGTAAGTCTGGGGATTTATGACGCTAGAAACTGGGTTTTGACATCCCTAGAAGGGGGCACAAAACAGATAGCCCATTGTGTAGCTTTGTGCTTAACTACAAATGAATAAAAGCTTCTATGCAGTTCACAAGTATTTTTCTAGGATAGACACGTCTTACGATACGTATGAACTGATGGTAAAAATTGAGCAATATGATTATTTGACAAGCCGCTAAACAATATAGAACTAAGAAAATATTAGACCTTAAACAACCTATGGTTAGTTAGTTATACGATGATCTATTATCAAAAATGCCACAATGAAATGTATTTTCTTCACAAACTGTAAAAATTTAAATGAAAAATACATTAGTTTCGTCGGTTTAGTCTATTTCCAAAGTAAAGGTTATAATAATTTTTGTCAGTATATTCTGCTCCCAGAATAAACGTTATCATAGTTTTCCTAGGTTTATACTGTTTCCAGAGCTAATTCTAAGAACTTAGGAGTGATGTTAAAAAAATAAATCATAACATATATCTGTCATATCCAGTACCGACGAGGCCTTTCGCGCGTTACGAGAGCTTTTGTTGATTTTTTAGAATGAAACAATCAGTTTTCTTTGTTCCAGAATAAACCAGTAGCATTGCTTTCATTATTTTAGAATAAAACACCTACATTTTTTGATGATTTGATTGTTTTGCTATAATATACCAGCAGCACAGTTTTGGTTGTTATAGAATAAAACAGTAGCACAGTTTTCGTTGTTCTGGAATACAAATGTAGTGCAACTTTCGTTGGTTGATTCTGTTTCTCGAATTAACCACATTGCACAGTTTTTGTTGTTCCAGAATATAACAGTAGTTCTTTGATTGATTCTGATTTCTAGTATAGATCGGTATAACACATTTGTATATGGTTGATTCTGTTTCTAGAATAGAACGGTATAGCACATTTGTATATGGTTGACTCTGTTTCTAGAATAGAACGGTATAGCACATTTGTATATGGTTGATTCTGTTTCTAGGAAATCAGGCTCAAATCAGGGTTCGTGAAAGCAACAGAAAGTGAAAACAAAGCTCAATCCAGAATGTGCCTTCAAGGTTAGCGTCAAATCTGGAAATAGGTGAAACCAAGGAACTGTGTTATACCGTTCTATTCTAGAAACAGAATCAACCAAATACAAATGTGTTATACCGTTCTATTTTAGAAACAGAATCAACCATACACAAATGTGCTTTAGCGTTCTATACTAGAAACAGAATCAACCATATACAAATGTGCTATACCGTTCTATTCTAGAAACAGAATCAACCATATACAAATGTGCTATACCGTTCAATTCTAGAAACAGAATCAACCATATACAAATGTGCTATACCGTTCTATTCTAGAAACAGAATCAACCAAATACAAATGTGCTTTAGCGTTCTATTTGGACTTGCTGCGTAGAACTTCTTAAACGTTGGATCTAAAGTTCTGACCTAACTTTTATTTTTTTGGTGTAAAATCACTACCTAACAGACTTAATTAAATACGTATGCTCTTTAACACCATTACTTTGGATTGGGAATATTAAGAATTCGTTTTATGAAATTTTGTTACTACTCATTGGACATAGCTTGTATTTCCAGAAATAAGGGACAAAAAGAAATAATGTTCTACTGTTTGTTTCATACTTTTATTGAACCTTTGTATGAATAATAGTTTTCTCCTTCAGCTCCAGCAGCTTCTTATCTTAAAACTAATTTTCCACATAGTCATTCCTAGACATAAGATCTAGCGCACGATATAGAAATAGATGTAGATTATTTAGTTAGTAAAAGTGTAGTTAACAAGTATCAGTAACAATAGGTGCACCAAAAACACACAAATTATTGCACTTATCATCCAGTCTTAACTGAAATAAAAGAAGTAACCATAAACTGGCACTTTCCGCTAACTTATATATATGTACAGAAATTGAGTAAGTTATATTAAAATGACTTAGGAACCTCATCTCGTCATTACATTCCATATCACGCTTCATCTGATAACCATGTGTGTCACTTGAAATTGCTCTTCAATATCGTTTCAGTTCTAAAAGGCTCTGTCACAATTCTTTCATGTTCAAAGCACACTCTTCTTTCCATAATCTAAGACGTTTTAATAGTCCGATCGCACATTAATCCAATGGCACTGCGTCATGAGACTTAACCGTGTGGAATATTATGAATACTTGTTCATTATTCAGGGGAAGTATGACTGGAAGTTGTATCTTAGGCAACCCATACCTCGTTGACCTTGCTTCCGAAGGAAGATCCTTCTTAATTATGTTGCGTACTTTGCCAGGGATACATGAACGGCGTTTGCCATTGACTTTTATGTTCTTGATTGGATTCTCACATGTTACAAGACGCCGCACTTTACGTACCACGGCGGAGATGTGACTTGTTGCAAGTCTCTTTATTGATGATCCTGGCACCCAGAATTGACCCATATTCCATATTTCTTTGTTTTTCAATGCCAAATATATATAAGGGATATCTCTGACTCGGAAATTATAAATCACCTATCAGTTCTTTGTCACAAGGCTTAGACTAGACACCTTCTCCCAAGCAGGGTGCAAAACACTTGCTTTTAAAAAATCAATCATTGGCTTCAAATCCT